TCACCTGTAAAGATGAAGATAATAGTATCTTCTTCAGAGATTTTGTGAAGATTAAAAAAGAGAGAAGTATAGTGTTCTTAGTCTTGATATATAATTGCTGTTACAGTTAATACTTTAATAAAAATGTATGGATATTTACTCTACACAAGGAGCAGTGATCAGATATTAAATAAAGCATGTCATGAGATCTTTAGGATAATCTATTTGTGACCTACTTTCCACCTACTACCACACCCTTCTCATTCCATTCTGCAATTAAATAAGCTTTAATGATAATTTGTTAAACCTTTAAGCTTTCCATTGAAGAAGCATAAATTATTTTTATCCTTCTTTTTAGAGGTATGGTTTTAAAGGGTCAATTATAGGTGAATGCCTGAGTAATGTTAATTTCAAAGACTTAAAAATACTTTTTTGGTGCTTTATAGAAATGCATAGCTTGCAGTGAAATGACAGTGTCATGGAATCATGTGACCACTAGAGGTCACATTATACTTTTATGTTATTTAAAATCTTTCTTGCTAGTGTCTGTTGGTGAAGCCTACTTCAAAGAAAGATAGGAAAAATCCAATATTGCTTCCTGCAAAAGTTTAGCTAAAAAAAAAAAAAAAAAAAAAAAGGAAAGAAACCCAAGCTGGACTATTACAAGAACCATTATTATATGTCATGGTTTTATGTTTGATGGTTTGTTAACTGTGTTGGTTAGAAAATTGATTTGTATTATTGAAGTTTACAATGAGATCTTAGTACTGAGTTAGAAATAGAAACTTCCTTCTCTCAACCACAGAATAACTTGACTTTTTTTCAAATTACATCTGAATGGTTACATATAGGTGAAGAATCATGTGAATATTTCTCACATATTTATTAGTAAGATTTGGAGTACTACATACCCAAAGAGTAACTGACACAAATACTTAAATTCTCTGGACTTTCAATTTCCAAATATGTAAAATGTGAATAACAGCTGTAACAGTACTATGGTGAATCTCAACATTTAAGTGCAAGTTCTATGAAAATGATGAAAATCTCTGTGAAGATGGCGGCCTAGGTAAACATGGTACTTGTTGTCTCCTACAACCACATCGAAATTACAACTAAACTAGAAAATAACCATCATTCAGAACCACCTGAAATCTGGCTGAGTGGAAGCCCTACTACTAGGAAATTAAAGAAGAATCAGCATTGAGACTGGTAGGAAGGGTGGAGGTGATGAACAGGCTGGTCCCACACCCACATGTCACAGTGCGGCAGATAAAAATTGTCGAGGGATATCTTGGCTGTGGAGACCCCTCCCCCTCGAGGAGCAAGGGGTCCCAGCCCCATACCAGGCTCCCAGTCCACGGTTCCAGTGTCAGAAAGCTAAGTCTCCGTAACTTCTGGCTGTAAAAACCAGCAGGAATTGAGGCTAAAGAAAATGGAGGGCTTCTAGAGTCCTAGTCATTTCACCTTAAAGGGTCAGCACATAGACTTACTCAGATCCACTGTCTCTGAGTTTCAGCACTGGGGCAGCAGCTCAAAAGGCACCAGAGACATATGGGGAGGATCTGAATTATCTGGCATCAAGGCAAGAGCTGAGGGGACAGCTTTCTCCCAGACAGAAGTGCTGGCAGAGGTCATTGTTCCTTTGATGAGCCCTCCCCCTACAGAGCCAGTAGGTGGGCACAGTATCTAAGACTCCCATCAACTTGGCTCATACTCTTTGCCCCACCTAGGTGATTCCCTGAGACCCCACCCCAACCAAGTTTTGGGCCTACTCAAACTATTTCCAGTGGCTTTTCCATACAAACGGCTTGTCTTGGCTTGTGCTTCAGATTTTCCTAAAATCTCTCAGACAAGCAGCATCTGGCCTCAGTGTGCCCTGTACCTTTTGCTAAGTGGCCCAAGGCCTGGCACTAGTGGCATCCTGCCTTTGTTTGCAGCTTGGCTGCTCCAGGGCAATGGAAGCCCAGCACAGTTATCAGCCACCTACAGATTGCTTGGTAGCTCACGCCAGGTGGCCCTGGGCAGAACACGGGTGGCAGCTGACCTTGGTTTGCACCTCTCTGGAGACTCTAGAACCAGTGCGCCAAGTGGACAGCTTCAGACCACCTCAAAGCATCATCATTCAACCACCTCCTTAAGTGACACAATCAAGGGGAAGACTCAGCGGGCATTAGAGCCCCACTGAATTCATCCCTGCTCTGTGGGGTGTGCCCTTTCACAGCTGATCCACCATGGTGGTCAGAGGTTGGTGGTCAATGGTCACAGCCAGCCAGTCCTTGCAGGTGATTGGCCTGGGGGTAAATGCATCCTATTGACATGCCAAGAACAGTCAAGGCTCAACTACAAGAGGATGGTGTGCACAGGCCTACACAGGGGTTTACCTCCAGTTCCTAGCTTGGGTGATTGGGGAGGCTATGCCACACAAACACCCACTGTATCAGGCAACTCTGCCAAGCCTAGGAGACATAGAAGCTCTACCTAACACATAGAAGCAAACACAGGGAGGCTGCCGAGATAAGGAGACAAAGAAACATGTCCCAAATGAAAAACTGAACAAAATTCCAGAAAAAGAACTAAACAAAATGGAGATAAGCAATCTGCTAGATGCAGAGTGCAAAACACTATTTATAAGGATGCTTAATGAACTTAGGGAGAACCTCAACAGCGTGAAAAAGGACCTGTCAGAAATGAAGGATGCACTAACTGAAATGAATAATTTACAGGGAATCAAGAGGAGAGTAGATGAATCTGAGAATCGAATCAATGATTTGGAATATAAGGAAGCAAAAAACACCCAATCAGAACAGCAAAAAGAAAAAAAGAGTCCCTCCAAAATGGGGATTGTGTAAGGAGTCTCTGGGACAATTTCAAGCATACCAGCATTCACGTCATAGGGGTGCCAGAAGGAGATGAAAGAGAGCAAGAAATTGAAAATCTATTTGAAAAAATAATGAAAGAAAACTTTCCTAACTTGGTGAAGGAAATGGTCAGACAAGTCCAGGAAGGGCAGAGAGTCCCAAACAAGATGAACCCAAAGAGGCCCACACCAAGACACATCATAATTAAAATGACAAAGGTTAAAAACAAGGAGAATCTTAAAAGCAGCAAGAGAAAAAAGTTAGTTACCTATAAGGGAGCTCCCATAAGACTGACAGCTGATCTCTCAAAAGAAACTTTTTCAGACCAGAAGGGATTGGCAAGATATATTCAAATGATGAAAAGCAAGGACCTATAACTAAGAATTCCCAGCAAAAGCTATCATTTTGAAGGACAGATAAAAAGCTTCCCAGGCAAGAAAAAACTAAAGGAATTCATAACCACAAACTGGTATTATATGAAATTTTAAAGAGTCTTCTTTAAGAAGGAGGGGAAAAAAGATTAAAAATATGAACAATAAAATGGATAAATATCAACAATTGAGTCTAAAAAACAAAATAAATGAACAAGCAGAACAGAAACAGATTCATAGATTCAGAAAACATGTTAATCATTGCCAGATGGAAAGGTGGTTGGGGGGAATGGGTGAAAAAAAGTGAAGGGATTAGGTTGTAACAGAATATATGGGGGGACATAAAGTACAGCATAAGGAATATAGTCAATAATAGTCTAATAACTATGTATGGTGTCAGATGGGTATGAGATTAATTGAGTTGATCACTAAGTTATGTATTGTCTAATCACTGGAGTGTACCCCTGAAACTAATATCATAATGTATGCCAGCTGCAATTGAAAAAGATGATGCAAAAACTAAAAAAGAATCTATGCAAATGGTACAGTGTGTTATCAGATAACTGTTATTGTTTTGGGCCCATTAAAGGCATGTTATAGGAAGGATTACAGCAACCTCTAAATTTTTATCATGACTTTTCTGGTAGAATTGATTATTAGTTTATATTTTACTTTTCTGAAATAGCCACGGTAGCTAATAGTGGATATATTTTAAATGGGATACCTTTAAGATACTTTATTTTAGGACGTGTCCTAAATGTTAACTTTGAGGTGTGTGGGAAATTTATGGATGTGGATTTCATTCTGCTGTGATGCTTGATGTTACTATTTTTATTTAGTTACAGCCTTAAGTGTGGAACTGTTCTCTGACTTAAAAAAAAAAAAGTGTACTGATTCTTGTCAGTTTCATATTTTGGCCAGGCTCTGCAAAACTAATGGGTTTAATTGAATTTAGGCATTGCTGTCATCTGCTTTTACCTATAATTTTGGTCTTGATGTGGATAATATCAGAGTTGAAGTGATAGATAGGTAACCATTAGATGGACCAAATTATTATAAGTTGATACTTCAAATGTTTTCAGTTATGAGTCAGCCACAAATGGCAAAGGTAACCTGAACTACTGTGCGTATAGCCATGCAGCGAGGGCTTGGTTGGCAATTTTGGCGTTTAAAGTGCAAACAATTTTTTAACTTTTGTATGCAGAAATGATTGTGAGCATAAGTAGAACACTGTCAGCTCAAATACAGGGATACACACACACACGTACACACACACATATATATATATATATACACACATATATACATACATAGATATGATAATTTCTTCACTGTAAATATTTTATTTTTACTACTCCCTCTCCTACCTTCCTATTGTTTTAAGTGGTGCTGATGGCTCCAGAGCTCAAATTCAGGTCTGCCTGCAGGACTCTTTTAAGTTTACTAGACTACTGCTTTTTAAAGCCATTTGTCATTATTGCCTACACTATGTTTTCTGTATATGAAGTGTTTTCTAATAAGTACATAGTAGATTTTTTTTCTCATTTTATGAACTTCATTGATAAGAATCCCCAATAAATGTCTGTCTTGAATGGAAACTGTCATGTAGGTTTTGGGACCTGAGTCTCTGCTCAGACATTTATTCTTTTCTGATTTTTGGCAAGTCTCTTAATCTCTGACTTGTTTTGTTTTTTGCTTAATGGCTTTTAAAAAATGTTTAATTTTAACTTTTTAATTTTTATTTAGGGAGGTGACTGTGTTTGAATTTTTTTTCTTTTTCCCACTGTAGATAACAGACAAGAGAGTGTCCAGAAGACATGCCATTCTTGAGGTGGTGGGTGGTCAGCTTCGAATCAAACCGGTAAATATGATTCATTTTAACTTTTTGTCTCTCACCTTTTTCCAGTTCCTGATTAGAATAGCTTATTTTCTAAGGTTATGGAAATATGGAATTAATTTCAAAATATATCCTTCTTACTGCTAGAAGATAATTGAGAGATAAAGATCAAACTATTTAAACTACCTAACTTTTCCATGAGGCAGTGTTACATTACATAGTTAGAATTTTAATGGAAGATGACTATCAGTTCACATGTACATTATTATTTTGTTCATGACTGGTTATTGCAAAAAAAAAATCCCATAAAAAGTCCGTAACTGTGGAGCGGGGCACTGACCAAAGTCAAGTAAGTGTTATAAAGTTGTATTTTAACAGATTTTTACACCTCTTATTTGTAGAGTTGAATATTTCTAAAATTTAGATCTGTTCAACTTTAGGATTTTAAAAATACTTTTGATTTGAAAGTTCTTAAGGGTTGGACCTTTAATTACTTGCTTTTTAGTTTTATCACTGGTGTTTTGTAGGGATAGCAGTTTCTGAGAATATACTATGTGATTATTCCTTTTCATTTGCAGAGTCTGTTGTATAGGAGAATGAAATATGTGTATGAGGGTCATTTATTTTAGATTCGATGCTGGGGTGTTAAATTTATTATTATGAAATGAATTTCATTAATTTATAACATTTAAAAACCTGCACGTATTTTCATCTTATATGGACAACCTCGCATTGTAGTATTAGTTCTTTCCTTGATACAGATAGTACTTTTATTTACCCTACGTTGAACTGTTCGCAAATTTGAGAAGTATCCTTTTAATTACAATACTGGGAAGTTTTGAATTAATATGGATTCACACCATCTCAACCTTGATAAATACGTTTTAAGAGGGCTTGTATCTTGTGTCTTAGTGTCTTAAAAAATGCTATTATCTGTAGTCCACATTCCTGTGAGGGACCCTTTATTTACTATCAGTTATTTATCTCTGGTTCCTCTCCAACTATCTTATTCCTCATAGTAAGACTTCCTAGATCATAAACTTGTTGAGTATAGGAACACTAACTAATTTTCATATCTCTAATATCTAGCATAATGCCTAGCACATAGTAGGTAATTAATATTTATTATATGCATGAGTAAGTACTACAGTGAGAACTATATGTGGCATTTCTAGGAGTAGGGATAGCATGGATTTTTATAAAATCACTGTTTTCCAGTGCCCAATTTCTAACACCTTTTCAATAAATTACTATGGCCTAAAATAAAGAAGTTTGATTTTGTTGTTACTGAAACACATTAAGGTAAAGAATAGAGGAATCCCTAAATTCCTATTCTGCCTGCCTTTTCTGATTGAACACATCATTATACTTTTTTCAAAATAGCAATTATGGCCAATAATACACCTAGCTCCTCTACTGGAAGACCCATGACTTAAAAATAGTTACTTTCTATAATATTTAGATTTACTGCTCTATAATTCATGTTAAATGAAATGAGGAGCTTATAGTGAGTACTTCATTCTTACACATAGATTTCTAGTTATTTTTGATACCAAGATAGAGATGATTAGCTTTTGCTGTAGGTTTTTAGACTTTCCTAAATTTATATTGTTAGTATTCAAATCCTGTGTTTGCAGGTACAATTTAGGTGAGAGCTTAAATGGTACAGATACTTTGAAAAATAGCTTGACATTATTTCCTAAGATAAAGGCATGGATTCTCCACAAGTTAGACCATATACTCATGCACACGTGCATGCATACATGCATGAATGCACACACCCTGAGATTTATGTACAAAATGCAGTATCAATTTCCATCAACAGTGGAATTGATAAATATGAGGGGAGGGACCCAAAAAATCCTGAAATTATCTTCTGGAGGGTGAGTCCCTTGTAGTACAGGCTCCCCTGCTAGGTGAGTGTTCTAGGAACCCATCTGTATCAATGTACCAGCTGATGTTGTTGTGAGAGGCTGCATTCAGCTTCAGTGCATTTTTTTGAAGACTCTTTCATTGAGTTTGCCCATTTTGGGATGGGTTATTTACAAGCGCACCTGCCCACACCATACTAAGTGTTCAGCAGTTTTTGACCAAAAAGAGCATCACCCTGTGCCCCACCCTCCCTATTCCCCAGATCTCACCCCGAGAGACATTTTTTTCCCTTGGGTGAAAAAAGTCCTCAAAGGGAAACATATTGCTAATGTGGAAGAGGTGAAACAAAAAACAGCACTACAAGGCATCAAAATCGATGAGTTCAAAAACTGTTTTGAGTAGTGGAAAAACATATCGATAGGTATATTGCATCAAATGGAGAGTACTTTGAAGACAACTGAAGTTTAAACATGTAAGAATAAATACATAATTTTTTATAAATAAATTCTGGGTTTTTTTGGGTCCCCCCCTTGTATATTGTGATATAATCATTTAATGAAATATACTACAACAGTGAAGATAAATTACAATGAAAGCATGAAAAAATATGGGTTAAAATTAGGAATATCATAATGAATGACACAAGCAAGCATTGGAAGAATATGTACAATATGACCCCAATTATATAAAATTTAAAATCCTACAAAATAAATAATATATTTAGCATCGTAAACATAGGTGGTAAAATCATAAAGAACATCAAGGACATGGCAAACACAAACATCAGGATAATAATTCTCAGGGAACTGACAAGAATGGAATAGAGATAGACTCACAGGGAATATCGAAGGTAATGGTAATATTCTTTTTTCTTTTTTTTATTTTTAAATCATGTTTATTCTATTACAGTTGTCTCAATTTTTCCCCCTTTGCCCTCCTCCACCCATCACACCCTGCCCCCTGCTCCCACAGTCAATTCCCACTTTGTTGTCCATGTCTGTGGGTCATTCATATATGTTCTTTATCTAGTCCTTTTCCTTCTTTCCACCATTGTCCTCCTTCCCCATCCCCTCTGGTCACTTTCAGTCTGCTCCATGTTTCCATGCCTGTGGTTTATTTTGTTTGTTAGTTTATCTTGTTGAATAGATTCCACTTATAGGTGAAATCATATGGTATTTGTCTTTCACTGACTGGTGTATTTCACTTAGCATAATATTCTCCAGTTCCATCCATGTTGTTGCAAAAGGTAGGAGTTCCTTCTTTCTTTATTTTATTTTTTAAATGCAGATAGATTTTACTTATTTTTTTAATGTCAAGATTCATTATAAAATATTAAAAAATTTAAATCCATTATAAAATCTCAGCAATTAAAACATGACACCAGCACAGAAATAATCAAGTAGATCAATGACATAAAATGAGCATTCTAGAAACAAATGTATATATCTTTCGAACAATGTAATATATGATTAAATTGATATTTCAAATCAGTGGGGAAAATAAGGCTTATTCAGCAAATAAGGTGCATGAACCACTCTTACTTGAAATAAAACAAATATAGAACCCTGTTTCCACATTATACAAAAAATATTCAGGTGAGTTAAAAATCAATATGTAAAATCTAAGGAGTTTTAAGAGAAAATACAAAATATTTTTCTTATCCTGAAGTAAAATATTCAAACCCAGAAGCTATAAAGTAAAATATTAGCAATATAACTCTATTAAACTTTTAAGACTATACAGTAATATATATGTAAAAAAGTTAAAGGACAAGTAATAGAATAGGAAAGTATTTGCAATACATCTAAAAAAGGGTTAACAGGATTTGTGTGTGTGTGTGTGTGTGTGTGTGTGTGTGTGTGTGTGTGTTTAGGGAAAAAATCTTACAAACATTTAATCAAAAAAATGGATAAAGAATCTTCTTCTAGTATCCCTATTATACGAATATTATTACATTTCAGGTTGTTCTGCATTTCCCTAAACGCCTCTTCATTCTTTTTGAGTCTTTTTTCATTTTCTTGCTCTTTCTGTGAGCTTTTTTCCTACCTTATTCTTCAGCTCACTGATTCGTTCCTCTGCTTCATCTAAACTGCTTTTGATTCCTTTTACTGTGTTCTTCAATTCAGAAATTGTATTCTTCTTTTCTTCTTGTCTCTTATTAAGAGAGTCTATGTCCTTTTTCATGCTGATATAGTTAGCAGTAAGTTCCTCATAGTTTCCCTGTAGTTTTTGGTAATTCTCTCTGAGTTCACTGAGCTCATTGAGCTTCCTTAGAGCCGTTGTTTTGAACTCAGTTTCTGATAGTTTACTTGCCTCTATTTCATTTATTTCTCATTCTGGGGATTCCTTCTTTCCTTTCGACTGGATGGTGTTTCTTTGTCTTCCCATTATTGGGAGATTCTTCATTTTTGCTTCTGCTTCTTAAGTTGATCTGTCTTGATTTCCTGACTTTGTGGTGTAAACTTCTATGGTAAGAGGCTGCTTTTTTTTTTTTTCTTTCTGGATCTGCCTCTGATGATGTCAGGTGTTGACCCTGTCTGACCTTAGGCAGTCTCTTTGAGACTTCCAGGAATCTACTGTCTGTGGCTGTTTCCTTCAGCTGTTATTCTAGTCACTCTGCAGTCAGCAGGCTGGCTTAGACACCACAGGACAGAGCAGAGTCCCTCCTGGGGGTGGGGTTATTGGGTCCTCTCAAGCTGCTGCTGCTCAAGGGAGTGGTCTGCCTGAGCCAAATGGCTGCTGCCATATGGGGGAGGAGTCAGCACCAGGATCCCACCAACTACTCTCTCAGTTCTCTGCCCAAAGCCTCCTTCCCTAGCCTCTCCTCAGGCATCTCTAGCCCACTCTACCCACCTTTTTTGCTGGAGCCCAGGGTAAGTGGCTGCAAATAAAAATTTATGTGTTGGCCCACTGAAAGGCTTTCTGCATCTCCAGCTGCCTGTCCCTGGCAGAGCAACCCTGCTGCTTTTCGCAGCTGGCTATTATCTGTGTACTTTTTGGACTCTGGTGCTGTAGGCTGGCGATCCCCGTTTATGGTTTAGACCTCGTTCCTTTCAGGGGGATCTAACTGGCTGTTTCAATATCCTTCTGGTGCTGCCACCCATGGGTGCCCCACCTGCCTTCTCAAGTCTCTGTCACTCCTTACCAGTTAG